GGAGGAGGGAGGAGGAGCAGGAGGAGGAGAACCAGGAACAACATAGGAAGGACGTAACCTTGATGGCGAACTTTCCCAGTGATAATGAAGTTCGGCCTCCGCGCCCTCCGCCTATATTTGAAACTCTTCTAGGCCGACGATGGAAAAAACTCTAACGACTTACGAGGGGGGTACATTATTATCGTGGGCATGGGGTTATCCGAGAGAGGCTAAGGGGGGCCCAAGCGTGGCCCCGAAAGAGCTCCAAGCAGGCTCCAGAACGAAGCACAGGAGGGCCCCAAGAGGCGCCCCAAGAAAGCCCGACGATAACGACAGAAAGAGAGGGTCCAAGGAAGTGCCTCCTGAGCGCGACAAAAAACGCAGAGGCCCACAATGAGCCCCAAGAAGGGCGTTCTCAACAGCCCCATCCCTTGAGAAGGTCACAGCTCCACTGAAGCAATGACCCACAACTGGCTTGTGCTCGAGGTGAAAAAGTACCGATCATGCGGATGGAAGCGAGACCTACGGCCCCAGATGAAGGCGGGGTTCACATGGCGCCCCCCCGTCAATTTCGGCACGGCACTCACACGGATCTTGTCCCCCTGGGAGCTCCTCTTTCGGGTCCAGGGACAAAGTTCGCACGGCGTCGCTCCGCCCATCTCGGCACACCCAACACACGAATCGTGCCCCAGAGGGATGTCGTTTCACGTGCGGCTTTAGTGTGGGGATTCGCATAACGTCACGTCCCCCCCCCCACGCGAATGTCGACTGTCTCCTCACACGAATCGTATCAACAGGGAGCTCCACCGACGTTTCCAGAGTCATCCCGCCGCCCCGCCCATGGCAGTAAATACACCCCTGACCTGGGTCGTGAGTTCGGGGCCACGCGGCATGTTTCTGTGAGGCCTCTGAAGCCCTGAGATGGATCGTGATCGGGAGCCTCTTGAAGCCTTTTCTGGGAGCCTCGTGCAGGACGTCGAAGCGAGACCTCTCATACGCTTACGGGTGACTACTGGGAAGCCTCCTGGGACCGTTGTGGGAGCGTTTTGGGAGTCTCTGGGGGCCTCTTGGGACCTTCTTGGGGGTCCTTTTGGGGCTCTTTGGGGCTCTTTGGGGCCTTCTTGGCCCGTCCCGGGGCCCTCTTGGACCGTCTTGGGCGCTTGGGCCGCCTTGGGGCCCTCTTGGGGCCCTCTTGGGCCGTCGAGGGTGCCTTCTGCGGCCCTCTTGGGGCTCCCTGGGGACTCTTTTGGGAACCTCTGGGGACCGTCGTGGGCCGTCGGGGGGCTCTCATGGGCCGTGTTGGAGCTCTCTTGGGCCGTCTTGGGGCCCTCGTGGGGGCCTCTTGGGTCGTTTTACGGCCGTCTTGGGGGCCTTTGGGTCCGTCTTGGGCGCTGTTAGGACCGAAGAAGCGAATATGTAAAACAACGCACGTTTTCCGAAAGGAGTTTGGCTGTTTTCGCCTTTTGGTGACCTTCTGGGAGGCCTCTTGGGCCGTCTTGAGGGCCTCTGAGGCCAAAAATATAGATGTCCCGCTGGTTCGTGAAATATTCGAATTTCTCGAGGACCTTTTCGGAAGCCTCTCGGGCACCCTTGGGAGCCTCCTGGGCCGTCTTGGGGCGCTCTTGGGGTCCTCTTGGTGCGTCTTGGAGAACTCTTGGGCCATCTGTAAACAATCTTGGGCGGATTTAGGGCTGCTCTGAGCCTCGGGGGCGGGTCCCAGAGGGCTCCTGGAAGGGGGGGCACTACCTATGTACAAGATGGGGGGCCCTGCGGGCCCCTGGGGTCGGAATCCCCCATATATGTATACTAGAACCATCGCGCGCGCTTCGCGCGCGCTCAAGTTCTAGCTAGGCTTGATGGGCGAACACATGGAATATCATCCTTGTCGCTTCTTGCGTCCAGGGACTCTTTTGGAGGTCCTGCGCGAGCCTCGGAATCGTATAGAAGGGGAACTGCGGCAACGAGGAAATCATAAGTTGCAGCCAGGGGACACGAAGACGATCCAAGAGAGTGTCAAGACAGCGTCAGAGAGTTCAACAGCATTCCCCAAACATTATTGCATGTGCCCCCGAAGTCTTGATGGGGCTCGAGAAAGAGGATAGGGAGTAGGAATCCCAACTGGAAAAAACGGGAATCATTGGAATTCCTCCTTTTTTTCTCTCTCAAATTCCTCGGTCTTGGAGCGTTGGAAGCGGGAAAACGTGAGAAGGCGAAAAACGTAGACAAAACCCACAGGGAAGCAAAGATCCTCTTCGGGCTCTCTCGGGACGGCTCTCGAAGCTCTCTTGGGCTGTTTGGGGGGCCTCGTCGGGAATTTTTGGGAAGCCTCTCAAGGGTCTGGGGTGCGTTGGAGGCCTCTGGGGGGTCCCGGAGTCCTCTCAAAGGTCTCTGGAGGCCTCCTGCTCCCGCTCTTGGGCTCACCGTGGGCCTGTTCTGGGGTGGTCTGGAGCTGTCCTGGGCGCCTCTTCGGCAGTCTTGGGGCCGTCTTGGCCCGTCCTGGGGCCGTCTTGGGGGCCTCTTGGGCGGTCTCGGGGCGGTCTTGGGGGCCTCTTCGGCCGTCTTGGAGCGTTGGAAGCATGAGGTGGCGAGAAGGCCAAAAACCCTGAACAAAAACAATGAAAATTAACGATTTGAGGTTCTCCGGGCGCTCTCGGAAGGCCTCTCGGAGCTCTCTTGAAGTCTTTTGGGGTGCCTCTCGGAACGTCTTGGGCTGATTTTGGAAGCCTTTTGGCGCCTCCGGGCGGCGTTTTGGCGCCTCCTGGGATATGTTGGGCCAGAAGCTCGGAATTCGAGGTTGGCTTTCTCCGTCTGGGACCCCTCTCGAACTCGTCTTGGGGTTCTCTTGGGCCTTCTTGGGGCCGTCCTGAGCCAGCCACTCGTGTGCAGCCTTGGAGCGCTCCCGGAGGCCTCCTAGGCCGTCTTGGAGGCCTCTTGGGCCGTCTTGGACGCGGTGAAAGCCCAAGATGCGAACATGCGAAAAATATACGTTTTCCCATGGGAATGGTACGATTTTTGTTTCTTGGACCTCTCTTGGGGTGCCTCTCGGAACGTCTTGGGGTGCTTTTAGGAGCCTTTTGGCGCCTCTTGGCGGCATGTTGGCGCCTCCTGGAGCCTCTTGGGCCGGAAGCTCGGAATTCGAGGTTGGCTTTCTCCGTCTGGGACCCCTCTCGAACTCGTCTTGGGGCTCTCTTGGGCCGTCTTGGGGCCGTCCTGGGCCACTCGTGCGCAGCCTTGGAGCGCTCCCGGAGGCCTCGTAGACCGTCTTGGGCGCCTCTTGGGCCGTCTTGGACGCGGTGAAAGCCCAAGAGGCGAACATGCGAAAAATATACGTTTTCCCATGGGAATGGCACGATTTTTGCTTCTTGGGCCTCTCTTGGGCTGCCTCTCGGAGCGTCTTGGAGGCTTCTGGGACCTTCTTGGTGTCATGACAGGCGTCTTGGAAGGCATCTGGAGCCATCGGAGCGCGTTCCGAAGCCGCCTGCGAACGATCTTGGACGGCGTCCGGCGGTCCGACGAGCCTCCGGGCCCCCCGGGGCCCACATTTGTGGTCGGGGTCCCGGCCCCGGGCCCCCGGACCCGGTGCGCCGTTATATGTATATGTATTCCGAGAGCCCCTGGCCAGAGAGGCCCCCGAAATCAGGAACGGCGCTCTCGCTAGAGAGCTCCTCGCACGTCAATCAATGACCGACAAGGAAGATATTCCCCCCGGAGGGGGATGCGACCGAAGACGAAGTGGACGGGTATCAAGGGTTGGGGTATACAGAATGCAACACACGCGAGCAGGTAAGAGCGAGTTGACCCCCCCTCCGAGGCACATAGTGTTTTTCAATTGCAGTGCCTTTCCTGGCGTCGCACCCTGTTTTCACCCAAGGAAGGTCCTGAATCTCAGAATTCAATTGTTGGCCACTGGTTGCAACAACAGCGGCTCCCGCCTGAGACTTTCTCACGATTTATTATAAAATCGCGCTCTCGCGCGGGAGCTCCCCACAATCTATGCAGAAATGGCGCTCTCGCGTGGGACTCCCTCGCGATTCATTCCGTCGCCGCGCCCTCGACTCGACATATTTGGGAATCGCGCTATCGCTCAAAACTTCCTCGCGATTCTTGCAAGACGCACGCTTCAACAACCCGCCTGCTCGAGCTGGCCGCATGGGCCCGCCTTCCCGTCCCGCCCGCGAGGGTCTATCCGCCCGATCTGTTCGTTTGGTTCTGCCAGGTGATTTCTGCTCCTAGCCCCCCCTCCTGCTACTCTCTCTCGTGCTCCATCCTCCTCCTGACCCCCTTGTCCCTTCCTTCCATCCGTCCTCTCTTCCGCTACCTCAGGGGCTGCACGAAATACACCCCAATGGGGTACGATCGAAAACGAAGAGGGCGGGTATCGAGGGTTTGGGATATACGTGTTGGATGGCCCTCGAGCAGATAAGAGCGAACAGTCTTAAGTATTGTTGTTGTTGCTGCTGCTGTTGTTGTTATTGTTGTTGTTAGTGGTGTTGCTGTCGTTTCATCCCTTCGTGTCTTCATACTGCTCTCCCCACGACTGCCATTTACGTCGACATCATAGACCTATACGCAGTGCACCCATCATGCCCCTTGACGGCCACTCCTGGTCAGTGCGCGCATGCGATGCCCCTTCGCACAACGAGATGTCCCGACCAAAAGGCCAGGAGCGCTACCCTTCCTCTTCAGTATCGTACGATGCATGCTCGGAGTGAGGGGCTTCACCGTTGAATCCTAACTCTTCCTGACTCCAGTGTCTCGGCCAGAGCCAGCCAGGGTGGCGACATGTGAGGGCAAGCCATGGCGAGCTGACTGTACCAACGTGCCCTCTGCACACACACACACACACACACACCACTGGGCACCTTAGTAGGCTATGACGATCTGCATTTGAGACTGCTGGGTAAAGCTGCCAGATGGCACTTAGTTTGCAGGCGTGCAGCGCCGAGCTTTAGCTTCGGAGATGTGCGCGAACACTCTCCCGTCTGTCGCATTCGTCCTCAGCCCCTTGGCATGCGAATAGCCTATGACATAGACCACGTCGTCGATGGTGATCGAGGTCTCAGCAATATTCGTCGTGACCTGTGGATGAACATCAAGCAAGGCGCGGGAGTGACCAGAGAGTGGCGACTTCGGCGGAACTGGAGTATCCGAGGGAGCACTCGCACCTTGCCACGATACACTTACACCGGTCCTGGCCAGGTGCATCCCAGGCTCAAGATCGGAATGGCCAGGATCGGTATGAGCGCATAGTTTGCGCTCTCCAACCCTGGATGTAAGTCGCGCATGTCCTCCTGCAGGGGGAGCTTGAATTAAGAATCAAGAATAGCCAAAAATATCCCAACATAGCACAGAAGTGAACGACAAATCGTCCCCAGACTATTGTTTGACTATGTTTGAACATCCCCCCCCCCCCCCCTGTAGAGGGACGTGCCCGCCTTAACCCGGGGTTCTCTGGACCATTGTCCCCTCCTCCGCCTCTTCCCTCACACCGAACTCCTCCGCGTCGCACTCCGAGGCGTGCCAGCGGGGCGGGCCGGGCGCTTCGCCGGACACGTCTCCACGCGCGCGATCGTGAAGCGGAGCTATGTGCAGTGCTCGCACGGGCAGGAGGGCGGGTCGCTCTCGAGAGGTGGCTCTCTCTCTCTCTCTCTGTCGTGGGGGATGGACAGGGCCCCCTTTTCTGTACAGCCACCCCGTACAGTAAGGATGCGCGAGAAGGATACAAGGGCCTTGGAAACCCATTTCGAAGTTTCACGAGCGGGGCCGGGCCAACGAAAGTAGCCAAGGGATGGACCGAGGAGGCAAGGAGGCAAGGGTATATACCCTTGGAAGGTGGCCCGTCCTTGCTGGGCGGGTTGACTGCAGGACGCGGTCTCGTGCAGACGGCCTCACGCCCCGGAAGGGCGGGCGCAGGCCCGGAAAAAAACGACCGCCGCGGCGCCCTCTCTCGAGGACCGAGCACGGACAGCGCACTCATCGACGCGTCAGCGGGGGGCGGTGCTCGGTCCACCCCGGGGTCTCGCCTGGGAGCGCCGCGTGCGCTCGTCTTGCATTGTGAGGTCGAGCGTGCCCTCCTTCAGGCGGATTTTTTTACGAAGCATGAGAAATAGTCAAAGAATACGCAATAATCGTCTCCATACTATTTCCAGACTATCTTTGAACACATCTCCCCTGTAGAGGGACGGGCCCGACTTTAATCTTACACGTCGGCAGGAGTTTCGCTCGCGTGCCGCGGGCCGTCTCCGAGATGCTGCCCGCGCTTGATGTGCCTCGCGCGCGCTCGCCCCATGAAACGCCCGCGAGAGTTCCACGGGCTGCGGAGGGCGGCTCCGTTGTCAAAATGTTGCTCTCGCCTTAGCGCTAGGTCGGGCCTGTCCCCCTACAGGGGGATTTTTGACGAAACATAAGAAGTACTCCAAACATTCTCAAAAGATGCTAAAAAATACGCCCAACAAATGATCCCCAAAACTGTTTTTTGACTATTTGAAGATTCCCCCTGTAGAGGGACAGGCCCGCCTGAACCTTAGCGCCAAACACCTCCGCGCACAAGGCTGCGACCCGCCTCCCTCTCCACCGTCCTCCGCTTCCTCTTCCCCTCCGCCTCCACCTCCCCTCCTCCTCCTCCTCCTCCTCCTCCTCCTCCTCCTGCTACTTCTCGACTTCTTCCCGGGCTTCAGGGATGGAGGGCGCGTCTCGTCAAACCGCGGCGCTCGCCATCGCGCCACGCGCACGCTCGCCTCACAAGCCTGCAGGAGCTCCATTGGCGAAGGGCGATGATGTTCAAGTCGGGCCTGTCCCCCCACAGAGGGGATTTTGGGGCGACAAATAAAACATCCTCAGAGCATGCCCCCACATAGTCAAAACAAATGCTACAACAATATGATCCCCAGACTATGTTTTGATTATTTTTGAATGCTCCTCCTCTAGAGGGACAGACCCGACTTAAGATTATGTTTCAAAACCTGGCTCTCGCCTCAGCGCCGCGCACGCTCATCTTCAACCGTTCGCAAGAGCTTCACGGATTGAGGGCGGCTCTTCTTCAACACGCTGGCCCGACTGCGGATTGCCAGGGCGAGCCGGTCACGTTGATTCGCGGTGTTGAAGTCCAAGGAATGGTCTTCTTCCAAGAATTACGATGGCCAGGACGCAATCAACGCGGGGGAGCGATGAGAGAGGAGAGAGCAGAGAGAGGAGAGGGAGCAGGAGGAGAGAGGAGGAAAGAGGACGAGGAAGAGGAGGATACAGGACAACTAGAGGATGCGGAGGACGAGGAGGACCAGGGGCGGCGACCGCCCCCTCCTGGAGAGGCGGCAGCGGCGGGAGCGCGAGGGGGCCGGATTAGGAGGAGGACGCAACCGTTACATTGATCCGCGGCGTGAAAGCTCCAGGAACTGTGTTCTCGCACGGTTGGGGTGTCTCGGACAGCTGTCTTCTAACGGGGCACTTCCAGAAGTGACACAAGCCTTGTATCGGACCATGAAGAGGGTAGTTGGAGGGAGGGTTTACGGGATCGTCGTTGATGCGTCTTGGGTTTCCACAGGTCCCCTTCCTCCTCCTCCTCCTCCTCCTCCTCCTCCTCCTCATCATCATCATCATCAGCATCATCATCATCATCATCATCATCATCATCATCATCATCATCATCATCATCATCATCATCATCATCATCATCATCATCATCATCATCATCATCATCATCATCATCATCATCATCATCATCATCATCATCATCATCATCATCATCATCATCATCATCATCATCATCATCATCATCATCATCGTCTCCCCTCCATCTATCTCCTCTTGGGCTCCCTGGCCTTGCTAGACCCTCAATGCGCACCCCCTTCAGGAAGGCGCCGTCCGTGCGCCCCTTTCTCCAAGCGGCACTGCTTACTGCCTGCCCCGCCACTCCTCCTCCTCCTCCTCCTCCTCCTCCTCCTCCTCCTCTTCCTCCTCCTCCTCGAAGACCCCCCTCCTCTGCGCGAGGAGGAGACGCGACGGGCTGGCCGTCAATGCAACGGCTCTCCATTCCCCGACGCTGTGGCGGCCTGGCTTCTCATCCGCCCGCCCTCCGCTGTCCCCCTTGAAGACGAATGGACGATATATACAACACTGAGAGACGGCGAGTCTGGAGGATGCGCTGCGGGGAACACCCCTCCCTGGGAGAAGCTTTCGGCTCCAGAGCGTCAGAGTCTTTATTGTCGCCATCGCCACTGTCGTCGTCGTCGTCGTCAGCGTTGTCGTCGCTGTCGTCGCCATCGTCGTCGCCACCGCAGTCGTCGCCGTCGTCGTCGTCGTCGTCATCGTCGTCGCCGTCGTCGTCCCCTCAGGGTCGGCGGCACCAACCCTAAGCAACACTGAGAGCCGGGGGTCCAGAGGATGTGCTGCGGAGGTTCCAGAGAGCTCTGGAACACTCCGAAAGCATTCTGGAACGATCTGGAACGAGCTGTCACATCCGCCAACGTGCCGCTGGGCACGGAGTGGGCGGGCCCCTAAGTCCTGGGCCCAATCCTCTAAGCCTCAATCCTCACTCCTGAGGAGTCTTTCACGGGCCGGACCCGTCGCTCTCAAATCTTCTTGGGCTCTGCGTGTCTTCTCGCGTAGCTCTTTCGGGCCCAAGGGGGCACGAATCCACATCCCGGGGGCACGAATCCACATCCCAGGCACGCTGGCGGGGTGGGCCGAAGGCCACTAGATCCGCCGCCCCCTGTGCTTGTCACAAGGGTGCCCGGCGTGCCAGACCCTTTCGGTCTTGGTATGGGTTCTTTTCCCCAAAAACCTCTCCCCTGGGGCTCTGGCCCGTCCCGCCGGCCAACTGGAAAGACCCACAAGATCCGGTTGCCAAGTTGTCCCAACTCCAGACGGCTCCAAGATGGCCCAAGCTGGCCTCCAAGATGGCCTCCAAGATGGCCTCCAAGACGGCACAAGAGGGTCCAAGATACTTTCAAGTCCGCCCAAGAATCCTCCAAGACGGCCCAAGACTGCCCAAGAGGTGCCCAAAAGGCCTCCAAGACAGCCCAAGATGCCTCCTAGAGGTCCTCCAGGAGGGCAGAGGCTAAAATCATGGTGTTTGTCCCTTGGTGTGTGAGGGATTTTCGTATTTGCCCTTTTCGGCCTTCCGACGGCCCAAGACGGCACAAGAGGCCCCCAAGATCGCCTCCAGAGCGCTCAAGAGGCCTCCAATGTGGCCTCAGGAAAGCCCACGAGGCCCCCAAGACGGCCCCAAGAGGCCAAGACGGCCCTGGAGCACCCCAAGAGGGCGCCAAGTCGGCCCAGAGAGGCCCCCAAGACGGCTTCCGACGGCGTCAGACGGGCCAGGAGCCCCCAAGACGGCCGAAGATGGCTTTAAGATGGCCCAAGACGGCCCAAAAGACCTCCAAGAGGGCCTCTAGGAAGGCCCGCAGAAGCCAGCATCATTGATTTTCATAATGTTTTCAAGTATTTGGCATTTGCTTCGTTTCGGCCTACCGACGGCCGGAGACAGCCCAAGAGCCCCCAAAGATCGCCCCAAGATCGCCCAAGAGGCCTCCAGGATGGCTCGAGAGCGGCCCAAGAGGCCCCCAAAAGGGCCCCAAGAGGGCCCAAAGACGGCCCACGAGGCTCATAACATGCGGAAGAAAGCCTCCAAGAGGGCCCTGGAACATTCCAAGAGGTTTCCAAATCGACCCAGAGAGAAATGCCCCCAAGACGGCTTCCGACGGCGTCAGACGGGCCAGGAGCCCACCAAGACGGCCGAAGATGGCTTCAAGATGGCCCAAGACTGTCCAAGAGACCTCCAAGAGGGCCTCCAGGAAAGCCCGAAGAGGCCACAATCATTGAGTTTCTGTAGGTTTTGAAAGATGTTGGCATTTGCTTCTTTTCAGCCTACCAACGGCCCGAGACGGCCCAAGAGCCCCCAAAGGTCGCCCCAAGATCGCCGGAAGGCCTCCAGGATGGCTCGAGAACGGCCCAAGAGGCCCCAAAGACGGCCTCAAGAGGGCCCAAAGACGGCCCAAGAGGCTCCTAACACGCCGAAGAAAGCATTCAATACGGAGTGGAGAAGAGAAACCGAACGAGCTGATGACGATGATGATGATGAT